GTCTTTCTGTGACCCCGAGGGTCCTCAGACCACACTGTCCCGCAAGGGTTCCACCCCCTGCTTAGCCACTGGAGCGCCGTCCCTTAGCAGAGCAGACTTCTCAAAGTTCCAATTTTGTGCTCCGTGGCTCTATCACTTGCCAGAAGCGGCCCACGGAGGCCCCTTCCCCCGCCGTCGATCCTCCTGAATATCGCCTCGGATTCACTTCTCTGCACGTCCTACCTTCCAGAAAGTGGTCGCTTTTCTGTTCAGAGAGTTGTTGCTATTCTTTTCTTCGATCTCCTGTTGAGTTTGTAGGTGTTCAGAATGGTTTGATCCCTATCCAGCTGAATTCCTGGGACCAGATGAAATCCAGGTCTCCTACTCCTCCGCCATCTTGCTCCGCCCCCCTACATCATTAGTTTTTGATGTAGTGTTCAACGATTCATTAGTTGCATATAACACCCAGTGCTTATCACAACACGTGCCCTCCTTAATACCCGTCACTCGGTTATCCCATCCCCCCCCCCTTCTGTAACCCTCAGTTTGTTTCCCAGAGTCCAGAGTCTCTCCTGGTTTGTCTCCCTCTCTGATTTTTCCCAATTCAGTTTTCCCTCCCTTCCCCTATGATCCTCGGCACTATTCCTTATATTCCACATATGAGCGAAACCATATAATTGTCTTTCTCGGCTTGACTTATTTCACTTAGCATAACCCCCTCCAGTTCCATCCATGTGGATGCAAATGGTAGGTATTCATCCTTTCTTATGGCTGAGTAATATTCCATTGTATATATGGACCACATCTTCTTTATCCATTTGTCTGTTGAAGGGCATCTCAGCTCCTTCCACAGTTTGGGTATTGTGGACATTGCTGCTATGAACATTGGGGTGCATGTGCCCCTTCTTTTCACTACATCTGTATCTTTGGGGTAAATACCTAGTAGTGCAATTGCTGGGTCATATGGTAGCTCTATTTTTAACTTCCTGAAGAACCTTCATACTGTTTTCCAGAGTGGCTGCACCAGCTTGCATTCTCACCAACAGTGTAAGAGGGTTCCCTTTTCTCCACATCCTCACCAACATTTGTTGTTTCCTGTCTTGTTAATTTTTTGCCATTCTAACTGGTGTAAGGTGGTATCTCATTGTGGTTTTGATTTGTATTTCCCTGATGGCTAGTGATACTGAACATTTTTTCATGTGTCTGTTAGGCATTTGTATGTCTTCTTTGGAGAAGTATCTGTTCATGTCTTCTGCCCATTTCTTGACCAGATTATTTGTTTTTTGGGTGTTGAGTTTGAGAAGTTCTTTATAAAAATTTATAATTTTAATGGGTAATATGTACATTGTTCAACTTAATACTTTCTTGTACTTTTTGGGGTATGATTTTGATATGAGGGCAGCACTTGCTTCATAAGGTGAATTGGAAAGTGTTCCTTTCTCTTTGATTTTTTGAAGATTATGTAGAACTGATGTTAATTCTTTAAATATTTGGTAGAACTTTCCATTGAAAACATCTGGGCCTGGAGACTTTGGGAGTTTTTAAAATTATGAATTCTATTTCCTCAACAGATATAGGGCTATTGAAATGGTCAATTTCATGTTGGGTGGGTTGTGATAGTGTTTTCAAGGTCCATTTCACCTAAGTTTTCAAATGTATGTGTGTAGAGTTAGTATTCTCCAATGATCCTTTTGATGTCTGCCAGGTCTGAGGTGATATACCCTGTTTCTTTCCTAATATTTGTAATTTTTGTCAATTTTTTTCTTTGCCAGACTTCCTGGATGATTGTGAATTTTATTGATTTTTTTTTCAAGGAAAAAGCTTTTTGATTTTTTGATTTTTCTCTATGGCTTCTCTGTTTTCAGTTTCATGGATTTCTGTTCTCATCTTTACTATTTCCTTACTTCTGTTTACTTTGGCTTTATTTTGTCCCACTTTTCCTAGATTCCTGAGGTGGGATTATTGATAATCTACCATTTTCTACAATAAAAAGCTTGAATGTAAAGGACATTTGGCATTACCTACCTTCCTACAGCAAATACAGTCAATCCCACAGTAATTTTATGTTTTTCATAATACTCTTCCAATACTTCTTCATTGAAAGTGCCATCCCATACAACCGGAGCTGACCAGCTGGTGGTCGACAGGTTCATGTATTCACTGTAAGAAAGACATAAGAATTATGAACAAGATATCTTTTAATAAAACTGCAATAGATGTTACTAATGTATAAAGCCCGTGTCTGGTTGCAGCATTTCCTTACTCCTAATTTGAAGCTTTGATGGTTATGATAAACTGGAGAAATAGCTTCTCAGAAATGGCCAGATCATTACAAAAGTACATTACAAATTAGTTATACTGTGATTCCAAGATCTTTGAGGACACAGTTAAAATGTCACCCAAAGTCTAAAATAGCAATATCTCCTGTATTTGGACAAAATCTCCTGGTCTTAGGCTTTTTGACATTAATTATTTTCAGAGACCATATTTTGAAAAATGACCTTTCCAGTTTCATACTCTAAAATGCTGCCAGGCTAATGTTACTGCATACTGTCAGAAACAACTTTGTCAAAACTCTGGAAGGCAGCCAAAGTTTGGAGTTTTAGAGCAATCAAGCAAAAGTTAAATCAGGAAAAGGATGACAACACAATAGAAGAAGGAAAGCTTTGTGGTATTTTAACTTAGCCTTACACCAACTCCCTGTCAGTTTGGGAGTGGTATTGAAAACAGCAAACCATGTTCTCATTGTGAGTACCTACTTCTGGAGGAGAAGAGTGGATCTAACTCCGAAGGAATTGTGTTTGTTCATTTGGACATGAGAGTTCCTCAAAGGACTGGACTGCTAGTGCTTTCCTTTGTTTCGCTTAACTCAGAACTCTCTCAGAATGGAAAAGTGGGTAAGTGGAGGGCAGTCCTTGAAAACATTTTAAAAAGGAACAAGCCCCTGCCACCTGAGGCAAGAAATTAACGGTTGGAATAAACACTAGATGTGCTGAAAGCCTGGGAAGAAAAGTTTGGAAGAGAGTTCTTTGAAAAGTAAAGGCTTTGATAAGATCCTATGTATAACAAGGAATTAGGAAATCCATGCACATGTTCAGGGCAGGTTACGTGCTGTGAAAAGATCCCTGAAGATCCTAAGCTTTCACCTCTGGATGATATTTAGACTCAGTGCAAGCAGGAAGTGAAGTCTAAGGCAGAGTTGTAAATAGCTGGGCTGTGTTGAAGGAGAGCCCAAACACAGAACCAATCTTCAAAGACTGTAAGAGGGTTCTTTTCCTTCTTCTTCTTTCCTTTTCTCTTTTCTTTTCTTTCCTCTTTTCCTTCCTTTTCTTTTCTTCTTCTTCCCCTTCTCCTCTTCCTCCTTCTCTTCATCTTCTCCTTCTTCTCCAATAACCCCCCAACCACCACCATCACCACCACTCTAGCTCTAGTCATTTAAGGATATCTCTGTCAAACCACTAGCTGACCACAAGCTAAAGGAACAGAGACCTCGCAGACCAAACAAGACAAAGAATACGGTCTTTAAAAATAGTCTGGAAAAGTCACTAAACAGACAAACAACTCTAGGAGGTGAGAGCATCTGACTTCCAAAGTGATCACACTATAATATACAAAATTCCTAGTTTTCAACTAAAAATGATGATGCATGCAAAGAAACAAGAATGTATGGGGCGCCTGGGTGGCTCAGTTGGTTAAGCGGCTGCCTTCAGCTCAGGTCATGGTCCCGGAGTCCCGGGATCGAGTTCCACATCAGGCTCCCGGCTCAGCGGGGAGCCTGCTTCTCCCTCTGACCCTATCCCCTCTCATGCTGTTTCTCTCTCTCTCTCAAATAAATAAATAAATAAAATCTTTAAAAAAAGAAACAAGAATGTATGGTCCGTTCAGAGGGAAACTGTCCCTAGGGAAGCCCAGACATTAGGCTTACTAAAACAAGACTTTAAACCAACTATTTTAAATGTGCTGAAAAAGCCAAAGAAAACTGTGGACAAAGAACTAAAGGAAACCGGGAGAACAATAGCTTAACAAATAGAGAATGTGAATAAAGAGATAGAAATTATAAAAAGGAACCAAATAGAAATTCTGGAGCTAAGAAGTATAATAGCTGAAAAAAAAAAAAAAACTTGCCCTAAGATTTCAACAGCAGATTTGAACAGGCAGAAGAAAGAATCAGATACACACAGAACATTTTAGCCAACAACAGAATACATATTCTTCTCAAATACACATGGGACATTTTCCAGGATGGTCATATGTTAAGCCATAAAGCAAATCTCAATAAACTTAAGATGGCCGGAAACATGCAAACTATCTTGTTCATTGACAATGGAATGAAATCAATAACAAGAAAATTTGGAAAGTTCACAAATGTGTGGAAATTGAACAACACACTCTTAAACAACCAAGAGGTCAAGAAAAAAATCACAAAGGGAATGAAAAAATACATTGAGATGAATAAAAATGAAAATAAAACATATCAAAACTTATGGGATGCAGTGAAAAGCAATACTCAGAAGGAAATGTATAGCTGTAAACATCTATATTAAAAAAGAAGAAAGATATCATATAATAAAAACCTAACCTTCCACCTTAAGGAACTAGAAAAAAAATAGCAAACTAAACCCAAAGCAAGCAGAGGAACAAAGAATAAAGACGGAGCAGAGACAACTGACATAGAGGAAGAGGAAAAAAATGATAAAATTAATGAAGCCAAAAGTTGGTTCTTTGAAAATATCAACAAAATTGACAAATCTTTTTTTGAAGATTTTATTTATTTATTTCAGAGAGAGAGAATGCACGAGCAGAGGGAGTGGCAGGCAGGGGGAGAGGCAGGTAGAGGAAGAAGCAGGCTCCCTGCTGAGCAAGGAGCCCGATGCAAAAAAAAAAAAAAAAAGAAAGAAAAAGAAATGCAGTGGGAGTTGAATTTTATCAGTAGTTTATTTGGAATCTGTATAAATGATTATATGGTTTTCTTCTTTGTTCAACTCTTGGGATGAATCATCATCCTGAGTTACAAGGATATGCCTTACTTGTTAGTGGGACCCTGTGCCAGTTTTTAAGCTAGCATCTTTCATAACTAAACCCACCCCACTATACTCGGCTTTATTGTGCTGAGCTGGGACTCTGCAAGCCACAGTGGGCACCCTATGAGGCTCTGCTAATAGAGGGCACTGGAGGAAAATTACAAGCCTGGAGGAAGAAGGAACTTGCTCTTTCCTGTTTCCAGTGGGCTCCTTGCCTTCCTCCTGTTCCCTCAAATCCCACACCACCATATTAGCAGTTCCTTCCCAGACCAGCAGTTGAATCCAGATTTCAGCTTTTCCAACACTTGCAGACCCAGCCTCATGGTGCCCTTCCCTAGAGGGCTGGTTCTCTGTCCCAAGAGGCCTTTCAAGAGCTCGGAGATACTAGCACAGTGGAGTGCGTGAGTTTAAGCTCGAGTTACCTAGTTAACAACTTTATGCTAGTTAACAGTTCTTTGTATTAAATTCTCTCTTAAAATAATCTGCGTGCTTTCTGTGTCCTGATTAGATCTGATAAAAGTTAGGATATCATGGAAGGATGAGTCACAGACCATTATCCAATCATGATCTTAACTGGACATCTCCTTGCAAAGTTTTATGTAGGACAAGTCCTGAAACCCTGCAGCACCAGGGAGAAAGACAGGTGGGTGTAGTAAGAAGAGGGAGGCAGAGAGGCCAGAGGAAAGCCACCATATTAAAGTGAAAAGTGCACAGATGGCCCATCTATCTGATTTGGGCTTTGGTTCCCTCATTGGTGAAATGAGGAGAATCAACCAAAAGATCTCAGATATACCCTTCACACTTTGACCTGCTATTTTAGGGCCTTTGGGTTTCTGTCATTAGGGCCTTTGGGTTTCTGTCATTCCACACTCTTATTTATGGAGGATGTAGGCCCTAATGTCCATTCCCAATGCATCTTGGCCACTGCTTATTTTTTAAAATGTAATCAAAGATCCATCTGCCATCCAACAGTTGGAATGCCATTTGGAGTATTGTTGCCATCTGTTAACTTCTGAACAATCTATGGATCAATCTCACATGTGTTTGATTTGGAATTCTTACCTGGGAGAAAACCAGTCTGATAGCTCTAATTCTTTTGATTGAGTATCCACAAACCTATCAGGAGGAATAATGCAAAGAATCACACTGTATCTATTTGAGTTTGAGGTAACTGAGTGTCTACCAAATCCTGGGCTATGTTATAATATGATGTAAAGTGCAAGATAAGCGTGAAGCAGTATGAAAACCAATGATGAACTTTGATGGGAGTGGCATGGAAAATCATGATTTCTTACCTCGACTTAACAGTCTCTGGGCTGCCCAGAAACCTTTATGTGTTTCCACAATGTTCATTCTCCTTCTTCTCATTGATAGAGAAATAGCTGTCATCACATGAAAGCTCCCTCAATCTTCTGCCACCTTGCCTCCAAATCTATCTTGAGCACTGATTTTCCCCCCTTTTATTGCAACGGAATTATAACCCTACTTTCTGGCCTTAAATATCCTATCTGCTCAGGAGCCTTGGTTTGAAGGGTTTCGCCTAGGCTTTCTATTTGATCAGTTAACTTGCGTGCAGGCATTTTCCTGTGGCTTCAGATTTGTATGTGCAGCTAGACTTCTCCCAGGAATTTAAGACCCAGACATCCAATAGTGTTCTGAAGTCTTCTACTTGAAGTTTGCACCAATGCCACAAGATCAAGATGTTTAATGTGAAAATCATTCTGTCTTCCCCAAAGTAGGTCCCCTTCATATGTTGCCTTATCACTTGGATTGGCAAGGCAGAAGTATGAGCCTCCATATTCCCATCCCCCGTAATTAACACTGTGATCCCCTCTGCCTGTCCTTGCACTGGCCTTTTTCAACCCATTCTCCATATGTCCACTGTGCCGCCGCTGTCATGTTTCTGAAGCTCCAGTGTTCCCATATCATTATTCTGTTTAACAGGGTTCGGTGGCTTCCCATTGTCCTGAGGATCACATCTACATTCCGTATATGGCCATGACATTCTGCGTGATCTGACCCTTCACACTGTTTCAGCCACGTCTCCTTCCCAGCCCCACAGTGACAGTTTTCCAGACTCACTTGCCTCTTTAAATTTCCTTAAACACGCCACGACTTCAACCAGTTAATTCCCACATAGCCTTTAGGTCTCGTGTTAAATATCCCTACTTAAGGGAAGTATACTCTAACCTGCTGGATGAGGTTAGATTCCCTTCATTAATAGCTAATACTTATGGGATACTTTCCTAAGTATTATCTAATTTAATCCACCTCTATGAGATAGGTATTGTTGTCATTATTATTATCCTCATTTTACTAGATAAGGAAATTGAGGCACAAAGAGTTTTTATTATCTTGTCCATAGTCACACAGCAGGTGGAAAGACAAATAGTTGGGCCTGCGTCCTTACTTCCTCCTTGCTATACACTCTAACGGCCCCCTAGCTAGCTTATCTTTGGAGAGTTGATCCTGGGCTGAGTTCAGGAGGGGATTGGGCAGCTGTGGAGCTGAGCTGTATGTCATGAGTGAGCACTGCAGTGTCCAGGGTGTGACTAAGACCATGGCCTTCTACACAGGCACCTGCCTCATTGACAGCAAAGCCTTTGGATGCTGAATTAGTGTGTTAAGGCCATATGTGTGAGGCCTGATGCTAAGGAGAGCTAATATTAATGATAGAGCAATTGTTAGATTGTGTTGCACTGTGTACATTTTACCAGGAAACATATTTAATCTTTCTTTCTCCCAGCCTCTGCTGCAGCAGACTTCCCTTGCATGTTCCCCCCTTTGTCTAGGGGTTTTCCTCTTGTTTTCAGGTGGTTGAGAGTTACTGCCCCCTGTTAGCCATGGCTCTGTGGAGGGGAAACATACCCTGCCCATGAAAACCATCTTACTGTATTATTTTCATGCACAGAGCAGCTCACCCACATATGGAGTCACGGTCCTGGTGAGAGTGTTGTGCTCCATGGACCCACCAGAGACATAAGGCTCTTCCACACAACAAGCATCAGAAAGAAAGTTTCTTTTACTTCACTATGTGGGTTCCCATGACTGCAGGGAGAAACTGAAGAACATGTTATGATTTCGGGCCTTGCACAATCTTTAAGGAAGTTTTCCTCTCTGCGTACGTTCTGATAGTATGATTTTGTAGGTGGCTTGTGGTTAATAACAATCTCCTGAATCTTTTAACCAAAACTTTACTCCTGTGTGATTTCCCAGAGCTTTAAAAGACCCAAGATTCCTGGAAGCTGGGTTCTGGCTCCCATCACACGTTTCCCCTAACCACTTCTCACTCCTAGTACTCCTAGTCCTCTGACCTTACACAAGCATCTCCAACATATGTTTGTAAAATTACTTTGGTTTACCCTGCCTGCAGGAGCCAAGGACTTGCAGGTACCCCACTGCCCTCCAACAGGTTTTGTCGTCAAAGAAGAGGTCATAGCATATTTGTAAATAAGACTTACCAGCACCGGTGTATCTTCTGTAGTTTCTTTGTGCTTAAGATAAACAAAAATAATCATATTACTTTTAAACTTATACAAAGGGTTTCCACATTTAATTTTTTTTAAAGATTTTATTTATTTATTTGAGAGAGAGAGAGCACAGAGGGATAGCAGCTCGAACAGACTAAGACACATACTGTGTGCCAACATTATTGGTTGTAGAGAGATACAGTAATGACCATAATAAAAAAAAATTACTGCAGTTAAGGACTTCATATGCTATATCTTAAAAAAAGGAAACCTAATTATTTGAGCTACAAATGAAAGAAGAACTAACTTAATATCATTGAAACAATGGAATTTGCTAATTGCCAATGAATTCTTTCTACTTGTGTAACTATGTGGAGGGCAGATACCATACATAGTGCCAGAAGTCACCAATATTAGGGATGTTTCTTAAAGATGCCACCTATTTAAAAATGGCAGTTTCTCTAACATTTGCTAACTGCCATAATTACATGGTCACTATCTTGGTAGCTTAACATTGCTTCTCCTCACACATAGGAGCCTACCAAAATTATGTTTAGCTTTGATCACATTAGAAACAAAGAACTTTTATGCTGAAGGTTATGTTTATGCTGATATATTTGAATGCCATTCTGGATATTTCTGGGTATATTGGATTGATACATTTGGATGCTTATTTATTCAGGGGGTTAGCCTATCACCTTTCTGACAAACTAGACCCTTACCAAACTCCAGAATAAAATATTCATTAATTTTTAAAAATTACCTGAAATGATACTGTCTGTGCAAAGCCCATAGAAACAATAAAAATAATAACAATTGAATTATTTTTCTTCCATATTTCATCCTTTCCTGAGAGGAAAAAGAAACAGATAAAAGTAGATTAAATATAGAACAATGGTACACGATGTATACAGAGTAAGCTGTGTTGAATTGTGATTCTCCATGACTTAAACCAGCTGATTTAATAGATATTGGCTAGGATTTGAGGCACATCTGGTCCTTGGATGTCTCTCTATATGAAAATAGAATTGAGTCTGTGGAGGCACTTTTTGTGGGAGCTAGCTAGGACATTAGCTGGTCTAAGCTGGCCTTGATGCAAGAGATTTTATAACCTTCATTTGTGTTTTCTAGAGTGCACAGGGCTTTTCCTACAGAAAATCAAAATACAAATGCCACTTCCCGGCCTAACTTAACAGGGTGGGGTGTCAGAGAAAAGAGATAATTGTGAAAATACTTACTTGGACTTTAAGGAGGGGTATAGTTGTGAAGGAACTTATTTTTAATGAATTAATATTATGAAGTTGATCATTCCAAGATAGGTGATAGGACCAATAACAGCATAAAATAGATGCTCTTCCTCAAAAGTATTTGAATATAAAATTCATTCCAAGTATGGGCTAGAGGCTGAACTATAATTTTTAGATTATTTGTACTTTGACCTTGGAATTTTGCCCTGAAGTTTATAAAGCTCCTTTGTGATACTCAGTCTATACACTTACGAATTTGTGTGCAGAAAAGGAATTGAATGTGGCTTAGTTTGGTTGAAATTAAGGACAAACTCTTACCTTTTGTTTTCCTACGATCACATAGGACTTTTATGTAGTTTCTTCCTTAGAGACTTAACATTTACAGTATGGTGGTTTGAGAAGACATGTGGAAAATCTCAAGTGGGCAGTTTTCAAGCAGGACATTCTGAGACCTTTGAAAAATCATGAATCAGATAACCTGGTATTGGTTCTACGGCACTACCCAGTTCGCCTGTTTATTATTTCAGTCTTCTGGGATGATGATGTCATCAGATTCTCTTTTGATGATGAAAGAATTAGATACTTGCAATCATAACAATTCATATGCCAGTAGCTTCTCTTTGTCATTACCAAGGGACTAGATTTTGTTCCATTTAGGGGAAAAAAACAGGATCCTTGAAGTTCTTTTCCTTACTTGGGATTTTTTTTATAATACATTTTTAATTGAAGTACAATTTACATGAAGTAAAACACATGCAATTTAAGTGTATAGCTCATTGGGTTTTTTACACATGTACATGTCTATGTAAATACCACTTCAATTAAGATTCAGGATGTCTCCATGACCCCAGTAACTTTTTTCTTGTGCCCCTTTGAGTCACTACTCTCTCCCATCCGGGAAACCGGTGTTCTGATTTCTATTACCATAGCGGAGTTATTCCTGCTGTAGAACTTCATATAAGTAGAATTGCATGGCATGTATTCTTTGCATTTGGGTTTTTTTTTTTTTTCCACTCAAGGTTTTGCAACTCACCTATGTTGTGTGTATCTGACAAATACCAAAAGCTAATTCAAAATGAATTATAGATGTAAGCATAAAAGCTAAAGCCACAAGCTTTTATTTTTTTTTTTAAAGATTTTATTTATTTATTTGAAGAGAGAGACACAGCGAGAGAGGGAACACAAGCAGGGGGAGTGCAGAGGGAGAAGCAGGCTTCCCGCCAAGCAGGGAGCCCGATGCAGGGCTCGATCCCAGGACCCTGGGATCATGACCTGAGCTGAAGGCAGACGCTTAACGACTGAGCCACCAGGCGCCCCTAAAGCCACAAGCTTTTAGAGAAAAACATAGGATATCTTTCTAACCTGGGGATAGATAAAGGTCCCTTAGAAGGTGACAGAAAACAACAACTAAAAAAAATGATAAATTATACTTTATTATAATTAGAAAACTTTTGCTCATTGAAAGACACCATTAAGAAATTAATAATTAAGCCATTACTACTCACCAGTGGTTTACAGTGACCTAAATATTACATACCATACATGATCCATACAGGAAATAAAATCTATTATTAATGTTAGAAGTTTTCTGTTGATCTCCATTCTTCCTAGAAGAAAAAATGGGGATGGTGAAGAAAGATAATTAAATTAATACAGAATTAGAATGTTTTGAGTCTTAGGAAAGTAGATCATACCAGACTAATGCTCCCATAGATGACAGTCATAAGTCCTGGAAGGGAAAATAAAATAAAAATTAAATAAAATTATTTGAAGGCAAAAGAGATGGAACAAAACTAGTTGATCCTTGAAAGGAAGGAAGTGTATTGGGTAAAATTTACATGTATACAACTTTTCATCTGAGGTTACCTCCCAATTCACACAGAGTTGGGTGGCTAGAACTCACAGAGAAAGACTTGAGCGGTCAGAGGATGAAATTCATACATGTAAAGGAGGCTAAAAAATAATATAGAAAACAGAAAGAGGAAAACACAGAATGGGGTACCCCAAAATCTGCATAGAAACTCTGACTTAAACCCTGGAGGACAACTAAACTGTCCATGCTTAGGAAAAACTGCAGTTTCCCTAGGAAATAGCAACATCTGAAATTGAGCAATTTCCGCCAATGCTCCCTGCAGGATAAATGGAGTTTGGAATTTGAGTCCAGCCCAGTTAACTATCTGTCCAAACAAAAATCAACACTCTTTAGAGGAAAATAACAGAATCCAGAGTCTCTACATGTCATCTATAATGTCAGGTATACATTTTAGAAAATTCCTAGACATGCAAAGAAACAGGAATATGTGCCCCCTACTGAAGAGAACAAGACCCCAATATAAATCAGCTGTTCAAAGTGGTAACCAAGGACTTTAAAGGAACTATTATAAAAATGTTTGAGGATTTAATGGAAAACTTGGTCAAAACAAATGAACAGAGGAAAGCTGTTTAAACATGGACATTCTAGAACTTTGAAAGTACTGTATTTGAAATGAGGATGTTAGTGGATGGGCTTACAAATGGATTGTATACTCTAGAAGAAAAGGTCAGTGAAATGAAGGATAGATCAATGTTAATCATCTTATGTGAAAAAGAGAGGAAATGAAAATCCATTTACATTTAAACTGCAATCAGGGGCGCCTAGGTGGCTCAGTCGTTAAGCGTCTGCCTTCGGCTCAGGTCATGATCCCAGGGTCCTGGGATCGAGCCCCACATCGGGTTCCCTGCTCTACGGGAAGCCTGCTTCTCCCTCTCCCACCCCCCCGCTTGTGTTCCTGCTCTCGCTATCTCTCTCTCTGTGTCAAGTAGATAAATAAAATCTTTAAAAAAAAAAAAAAAATTTTAAACTGCAATCAGAAGCCACCTTAGGGGCGCCTGGGTGGCTCAGTCGTTAAGCATCTGCCTTCAGCTCAGGTCATGATCCTAGGGTCTTGGGATCGAGCCCCGCATTGGGCTCCCTGCTCAGCAGGAAGCCTGCTTCTCCCTCTCCCACTCCCCCTGCTTGTGTTCCCTCTCTTGCTGAGTCTCTCTCTGTCAAATAAATAAATAAAATCTTTTAAAAAAAAAAAAAAAGAAGCCACCTTAGCCACCCACATTCAGAAGTTTTCACACTCTGTCATTATGACAGTCTCTCCAAATTGGGGGCATTCCAGAGGAGGGGAAAGAGTGGGAAGCCTGGGGGTACACTGTCCTCTGGTTGGGCAAATAAGATCATAAGGCATGAACAGGCATAATAATATTGAAATAATAATATTGAAAGCCCATCTACTCTCAGGAAGTGTTTGAGACAGCTTACTATTTTTTTTTTTTAAGATTTTATTTATATATTTGACAGAGAGAGACAGTGAGAGCAGGAACACAAGCAGGGGGAGTGGGAGAGGGAGAAGCAGGCTTCCCGCCGAGCAGGGAGCCCGATGCGGGGCTCGATCCTGTGACCTGAGCCGAAGGCAGACGCTTAACGACTGAGCCACCCAGGCGCCCTGAGACAGCTTACTATTAAGAAGGTGTGGTTACAGTAAACAGGGAAACAGCACAAGAATTTTTTTTTTTTAAAGGGAACAGAAAAAACATTTATTTAGTCACTTAGGTAGGTGTTTTCCATGACCTTGAACATCCTAGCCACTTCATAAGAATAAATATGTAATTATTGTAAGGAGGGACTTACTTCTATCATTTTGCTATTTGTTTTCTATATGCCTTATAGCCTTTTGTTGTTGTTGTTCTTCATTTTCTGCATTACTGTCTTCTTTTGTGTTTAGTTTATTTTTTGTAATGAAATATTTAAATTCTTTTTGCATTTCCTTTTGTGTATATTCTGTAGCTATTTTCTTTGTGGTTATCGTGGGGATTGCAGTGAACATGCTGAAATTATAATACTCAAATTAGAATTGATACCATCTTAAACTTCAATAACATACCAAAACTCTGTTCCTTTACACCTCTGTCCCCATTCTTTGTGGTTGTTGATGTCATGAAATTACATCTTTATACATGGTATATCCAAAAAACATGAACTAGTAATTCTTATAAATGCATTAGCCTCTTAAATTATGTAGAAAACAAAATTTGAAGTTATAAACTGAAGTTATAATACTAGCTTTTAGACTAGTAATTTTAAAAAGTGTATTAGTCTCTTTAGTAACATAGGAAGCAAAAACTAGAGTTACAAACCATTGTTACAATGCTAGTTTTTATAATTGCCCATGTATTTACTTTTATGGATATCTTTATTTTTCCGTATGTCTTTGAGTTACTGTCTAGTGTCCTTTCTTTTTTTTTTTAAAGATTTTATTTATTTATTTGACAGAGAGAGACACAGCCAGAGAGGGAACACAAGCAGGGGAAGCGGGAGAGAGAGAAGCAGGCTTCCCACTGAGCAGGGAGCCCGATAGGGGGCTTGATCCCAAGACCCTGGGATCATGACCTGAGCGGAAGGCAGACGCTTAACCGACTGAGCCACCCAGGCGCCCCTGTCTAGTGTCCTTTCATTTCACCCTGCAAGACTCCCTTCTGACTTCCAAAGTTTCTGACAAGAAATCTGCCAGTAATCTTATGGAAGATCCCTTGTATGTGAGGAGTCATTTCTCTTTTGCTATTCTCAAGATTCTCTTTGTCTTTATCTTTGTTTTTCAAAAGTTTGATTATAATGTATCTCAATGTGTGTCTTTTTCAGTTCATCTTACTTGGAGTTGATTGAACTTCCTGGATGTCTACATTCATCTCTCTCATCAAACTTGGGATGTTTTTGGCATTATCTCTTCACATATTCTCTCCCTCCTCTCCTTCTGGGATGCCCCCAATGTGTATGTTGCTCCGCTTGATGGTGTCCCATGTCTCTTAGGCTGTGTTCACTTTTCTTCAGTCTTTTTAATTTCTGGTCCTCAAACTCCATGATATTTATTGTCCTATATCTTCCAGGTCACTGACTCTTCCTTTCACTTGCTCAAATCTGCCTTTGAGTCCCTCTAATGAATTTTTCATTTCAGGTATTGTAATTTTCAGCTCCAGAATTTCTTTTTGGTTTCTCTTTCGGTTTTTTCTCTCTTTGATTGTTACTTCCATTTTGTTCATACATCATTTTCTTGACTTTCCCCATGTCTTCTTTTAGGTCTTTGAGCATCGTTAACAGTTGCCTTTGTCTAGTATATCTGCCATCAGGCCTTTTTCAGGAAGTTTCTGTTTATTTTTCCTTTGAATGAGCCATACTTTAATGTTTCTTTGTATGCCTTGTGATTTTGTTGTTGTTGTTGAAAACTGGACATTTAAATCTAATACTGGGATAAGTCTGGAAGTCAGATTATCCTTTTTCCCCAGGGTTAACTGTTTTTGTTATTGTTTTCATTTATTGTTTCTGCTCTTTTGATTATTGTAGGCTGTCTTTGAGCCAAGGATCAGCGTAAGGTGTAAATTTAAGGCCTTCTGAGGTCTTTTCTGAGCCTTTCCCTGGGCATGCATGGTCACTTAATAATTTTCCTGTATATGTAGTCATTATTGAATCTCCCACTCTGGCTCCCAAAAGAGGAAAAGAGAAAAATGAAAAGAGAGAAAAGGAGTGCTGGCCCTTTAAATCCTCGGGCAGTCACTTCAAGTGAAGGGGGAGGGGCTTGCAACAGTGGGGGAGGTGCAGCCACTATAGCTGCCCGCCTCTGTCTGCATCTCTGTGATCATAAGCAGCAATTCGTGGTCAGAGCACAGACCCCTGATATGTGGAGGACAGGGTCCCTTTTGCCCATTCTGGCTCCCGCAAGCTGCCAGGAACATGTACACCGTAGCCTGCCACGTGGCTGGAGGTGGAGAAGGGGTGGCTGCTACTGTGCTAAGAGCTGAAATTGACCAAAAGTAACCTTAGTGTACCATCCAAGCCCTCCCTAGGAAGTGGCTCAGGAGTTCCAAAATAGTTACGTCAGACAGATTCTGCCAGTGCAATTGTTGTCTAGGTGGGGAGACAGATTTCTGGTGCTTCCTAGTCCACCATATTCTGGAATCCTCTCTACCTGGGAAGCTTTTTTTTTTTTATGTGATGTTAATCACCATACATTACATCATTAGTTTTTGATGTAGTGATCCATGATTCATTGTTTGCGTATAACACCCAGTGCTCCGTGCAGAACGTGCCCTCCTTAATACCCATCACCAGGCTAATCCATCCCCCCACCCCCCTCCCC